TCATTAACTCTAACTAATACTTTGCTAATTTCCTGTGATAATAACCTTTCCTGTTCTGTCAGACTACATGAAATACATACCATCTTTAGCTTCTGATCTATGTCCAAGCTTGATCTGGTAGAGGGAAAAAACAAACACAAAAAAGTGTTGTTATTTAGATAATGCGTTAATAATATAAACTCTTCAAAAACTTGGCCGCAACAAAAACACACAGCAATTTCTACAGAGCTAGTATTTATAGGCAGGAAGTGGGAATCATGAATCAAAAGGCAAAATTAACAATGTAAGAAAGGATTAAGTACCTACCATTCCTTGCCCTTTAAGTTTTGAAAGTACACATTTGAATGGAATTAAAAAAACAAATGTGTCTCCTTTACCTTTGGAAGAGTAAGCATGGAACAAATGACTGAGAGCATACTGGTTAAAAAACAAAGAATCATGTCGAAGTAGCTGATTTGGAAGGAAACATAAAATATGAACATAAAATAGCATATTTAATATGCTTGATAATATGCTCTTAGGAAACATATATTTCAAAAATAAAAATTATGAACTGTGACGTATATAGAGAATGTTTAAACTGTTGTTACCATTAATAAGCATGACAGGTTGCATTAAGAGGTTTAATCTTATACTAGTTTCTTTTACTACTTATACAATGAATAAATATAATCAATAATAAAAAAAGACGATAAAACAGTTTTCCTTTACTTTGGAAAAACAAAGCTACTCTACTTTTAAAAAGATGTCTCACCTATATGCTACAAACAGAACTTCTAACTTAAAGGTGGCTAGTTATTATATATATCACAAAAAAATATAAAACACTCAGGAATAAATCTAAGAAAAAAATGTACAAAGCTTCCCAAGAAGAAAACTATAAACACCATTAAAAATGCTTAAAAATAAGACCAAAATAAACACAGGTATCATGCTCATGGATAGCAAGACTCAATATCATATATGTCATATATGTCAATTCTTTTTAAATTCAATGAAACTAAATCTAAAGCTCGACAGCATTTCTCAGAAACATTGACAAAGTGATTCTAGACTTTATATGAGAAAGTAAAGAGCAAAGAAAGACATTTTAAATTACTACATTTTCTAAATATAATTTAAAAAACAAAATTAGTTTCATGAAACCATCCACTACATTACTCAGATTCAACAATTATCAATATTTCACCACACTTAATCATTCATCCTCCCCTTTATGCTGACTATTTTAAAACAAATCCCAGATTTGATGTAATTTCACTGCTTTTATATTTAAGTAATGATCTCTAAAACACGGACATTTCTTACATAGTCAAAATGCCATTTTCATATGTGACAAAATTAATAATAATGTTATAGTAGCATGTAATACCTAGTACCTACTCAAATTATCCTGATTGTTTCAAATTTCTCAACTGACTCATAGAATAGCCAAGACAATTTTAAAGAAAAACAGGTATGTAGGCTTCATCACATTTTAAGACTTTTTATAAGGCGAGGGTAATTGGAAACACTGTAGTAAGGGATGGAAAAAAAATGGACCCAAGTATACAATGGAACTTAGCATTACAATTCACCAGGAAAAGGACTATTGATAGTATTAGGACAACTGGAAAAAAAAATATTGGCTCCTCACACTATACAACACAAAATAATTAATGCCTGATGGAATAAAGACCTAGGTGTGAAAAAGCAAACCTTTTAAATTTTTATAAAAAAATAAAGGATTTTTTATAATCTGGAGATATGGAAGCACTCAAAAGGAAACCCATAAAGAAAAAAATGGACAAGAGGATTAAAGATGGTAGGGTGAGAGATGAGATAGAGGCCTCCTCCTAAAACCGCATATAATATGAAAATAAAATTAATACAACTAATCCTGAAAGAGCAACAGGAAAGACAGCTGCACCAGACTGCATACACCCAGAGAAAAGAACAGACCTCACAGAACAGGGTTATGTGCCAAAGCTGTGGTCCGGCGGGACCCAAGCCCTTCCCTGACACCAGCTC